AAGGAATATATTAAGTCACTAGACCTTTCATCTAATGAGCTGGAGAACATTGATGGCATTAGTCAAAGCTCATGCTTAACTATTCATTTGGAACATCTGGAGAAATTAGAGCTTCATCTAAATGCCCTTTCAGGCATTCCAGAACAACTGTGTGAGGTGAGTCTACATGAGCAGGGAACCATAGAGCTTTTTAGAGAGAAGAAAAATCTCCAGCAAAATCTTCCCCTGGGGGGAATCATGCCCTTAGGGGTGTGATTCTTCTCTAAAAGAGGGCATGCTGGCATACCTTATTTTACCCCCCAAAATAAAATAAATGTTTTTTTAAATATTTCTAAAAAAATACTTTTAAAACCAGGTGTTACCTTCTAGTACAGGCCTGCACAACATGCGGCCTGCCAAAGTATTTCCAGTGGCCAGCATGCTCAAGCTCACCCCCAAGGCTCCTCCACATCCTGGCTTTCTCCTGAGGAGATAGCTGGGCTTGGGAGGTGGAGGATGGACATCCATTTGTCTGTCCTCCTGCTCCTCAGCCCAGCCATCTCCTCAGGAAAAAGCTGGACTATGGAGGAGGCTTAGGGGCAAATGGTCACCCATCCTCCTCTTCCCCAGCCTTGTCCTGTCCTTGGGACAAAGCTGGGATGTGGAGTAGTGGCATCATGATGGTTGGTGCAAGGGGGAGCAAACTGCCTTGCAAAGTCAAGTTTTATAGTGAAATAGTAAAATATTTTTTTTAGAAGAAACATGTAATAACATCATTTCTCCCCCAGAATAGAAGTTGATATTGAAGCACTTAAGTAAGGCAATAACCCAGAAATTTACAACTCTCAGCTCTTGGTTTGAGAACATTTGCTAAAGCCTTCAGTGTTTTGTCCAAACAGTCATGGACACATTGACTGCAATTCCCATCTAACATTCCTTCCTGGAAAAAGCCTTTGTGTGTTAGTTAATTATTCCAAGTCTTTGATTGCTGCCATCAAAACAGTTTTACTGTATAAAGGTTGGCATCTAGCATCCAGTCTTTTGGGTCTAGTCTGCATGCAGATATCCATGCTGCTGGTCGGCCTCTAGATTTCCCCCAATGGCTAGCTGCACCCCTGTTTTGAAGTAGCTATTGGGTCCATTTCTGTTCCTGATCTCCAATAATTGGAAGCAAGCCCCAGCTATGGTGAGCATTGCCATTAGCCAAAGCCTCAAAATCTATTCATCACTCACACCTTTGATTTCTTAGCTCTTGTGTGCTTGTGTGAATGCATGTGTTGTGGGTATGTTGTTCATTCCCTTAATAAACTAAAACTAATTTGGATGTGCCTCTGGAGTTTTGTGTGATTTGGACTTGGTATGAAAAGGGCTGTGATTCCAGTCTGCTTGTTACCACAGCCGTAATTAGCTAATATTAAATTACCCTGTACAATTATTAATTTGTGAGTGCCCTACCGTTTTTGGTAACACACAAATGCAGGTATTCCAAAATCCAAACCAATCTGAAATCCAAAACACCTTGGGTCTCAAGCCTTTTGGATAAGGGAGAGTCAGCCTGTAGAACAATCTCAGTCACTGGATTAGGGTAGGGACTCCTAGGCCAAATCTTGGCTCCTTGGAGTGACATAAGGTGTGCCACTTGTAAAATAAAGGAAAATAAAAATGGTGTCCACTTCCAGTTTTGTTTCTTTGGCTTCAGGGGAGAGGAATGGCTGTGCCCTATTTTAAGCCATGGGTGGGAATTTGGAAGAGGCTAAGACGCTGCATTAGCTTCCTAGGAGAACTTGGGAGGCCACACTCTCCCACTGTAAAGAAACCCAAAATGTTTGGCCCTCGGATGCTCTCTATGAGCTGTGGGGGGCATTTTTCCCATGCTTTTAAACCCTCCTGGCCACATTAGGCCTGGCAGAGGCTTTTTTTCAAATCAGGAAGTAGCTAGAAGTCACTTCCAGTGTACTTCCTATTTTTAAAAAGACTTTTTCCTGGGCCTACAATGGACCCAAAGGCACTCCACAAAATGTGGTGAAAATGGTCCTATGCCTCCCAGAGGGCATTTTGGGACAACATTTAAAAATATGTAGTACCATTTTTTTTTACCTCTGGGGTCACAAAAATGAAACTTGGGGGAGTGTGCTAAATGTGGCCCACAGGCCGCACTGCCCATCCTGTTTTTGGATCAGATACTTCATGCGATTTTGTATAAGGGCACTGAGATGGTTCTGCAGGGCTTATGGGCCCCCAAATTGATTTTCATCACTGTATTGAGCCTGGTAGGATAGCAATTTTAATTCAATTTCAGTTATAGAGAAGCAATATCTCAGCAGCATCAGAGGTTCTAGTGTTGAAACAACACTGTACAGGGGGAGAGAAAGATTGGACAAGAGCAAGAGCACATATTTCAAAGCACATATTTAACAGCTTTTGTAGTGTTCAGGATGGGGACAAGGGTGAACCTCATAAAATTGTACTGCTGTGTGTGGGAGTCTTGCTTATGTTTACCACATATTAAAAGTTTTAAAGTACTATGGTGTTTTAACAGTATTGAGGGTGAGTACTTGCCTTTGAAAAACAGTGAAACATGAGGTGTAGCTAATTGTGGGACAGACCACAGACTACTTATATAAAAAAATCAGGTAAAAAGTAAGAAAACAAAAACAGTCATTATACCATAATATGATCTGAACAACATCCCAGCAGAATTTATTGACAATGTAAAAAACAGATTTGCTCTACTAAGTATAACTGACTGAGAATCAGAAGAAGGGGTTCTGTGGGAAGAAGCCATCGACATAATTAAGGAGGAATGCAGAAAGACACTAACAGTGGCCACAAAGAAAGAGAAAAAATAATGGATGACAGACAAAACATTCCATGCAATAAAGGAAAGAAGAGAGGCTAAAGTTAAGGGAATAGGAATAAAACCAGAACCATGAATGCAATTGTGCATTGACTAGTGAGTAGGGATGAAAATAACTATTATAATGACCAACGTAGAAAAATATAAGTCAACAACAAGAAAATGAAGAACAAAAGACCTTTTCCATAAAATCTGGGAACTCAAATTCAAACCAAGGGCCAGAATGCTCTATGACAAGAAAAACATACTACACAATAAGAAGAAATACAAAGATGCTAGAGGCAATACACAGAAGAGTTCCGTAAAAGAGATGAAAAAATGAATGACAAATGGAGTAAATCTACAAGATTTAAGTAGAGCACCTAAGGATAGGGGGGCTTGGAGATGTCTCAACCATAGGGTCTCCATGAGTCAGGGCCACCTGGAAGGCAGTTAACAACAACAATAAAGCTGTTACTTTCAGCTGGTGATAGTTATAGGTGCTATCCAGTCAGTGCTCATGATACTTTACAGCTGTGCCCCCATAGTGTCTATAATACCTGTTAATGAGTTTAATTGGAGAAAGATAACATCATTCAAGAACAAAAAGTTCTAAGAATGTGTGCCATTCCCACTGTACAAGCTCAGCGTCAGCATTTGTCTATATTTGTATCATATTGTCTGTTTGCTATATTTTAATGATTTAATATGCTTATTTTAAAATAAAATAGAAAACCTATGCTTTTTTTCCCCAGACATTGAAATGCTTGAGTTACCTAGATCTGCACAGCAACCGTTTTACCATTTTCCCTCCTTACCTATTGAAAATGCCTTGTATAGCACACCTTGATGTTTCACGTAATGACATTGGTCCATCATTAACTTTGGATTCAAAGATCATCTGTGCAACTCTGAAACTACTGAATTTATCCTACAACCAATTGTCATGTATTCCTGAATTTCTTGCTGATGTTGCAAAAAAACTGGAACATCTTGTATTAGAAGGGTAAGAAGAGCACACAGTGGTTCAGATAGAGGTTTCTCAAGAGTTGCTATAAAAGTAAACTGCAAGATAAGGAACCCTGTCTCAAAAATGTAGCATATGATCACACTTATCCCCAAACCATATAGCAATTTTTTTCTGTTCTACAGCTTGCGCTTCCATGTGCCCTTGGAAAAAAACCAGTACTCACTTTCTTTTGCTCTATTTTTCCATTTAAGCAGGGTGCTACTTTTCCCCTTGGTAGGCCAAATTCCAGTATTAGCCTATTACTTCTGCTCTCCCATCATGTACTGACAGAAGATCTACTGATAGCTAAGCTGTGGGCATGTCTTTTATTGTTGTGTTTTCAATGCATTCATTATTTTGGTTATTTTGTAATCTAGATTTTGTGTTTAATCTGCTGTGTTGAGTGTCACTTCTGGTAGAAAGGGAGTTAATGAATTAAATAGTTAATTAAATCCATAATGGCAGGTATAGGTTCCTAGCTAACCAGATAAATATCCAGACACTTACACTACATTAAGATTGCAATTTGGAAATATTATTTTTGGAGTACCTCTTCCATAACCAACCCAGATAGTATGGCCATTGGGCATGCCTCTTAGGGAAGGTGAATTCTGGGAGTTGTAGTCCAGGGGGAAAAACTTTGCCAAGCTCTTGACTAGTATGTCTGTTTACTTGGGACCATTCTGTTTAGCAAACTTCAAGTAGGTTGCAGGAAATATAGTGGTTTAAATCCAAAGTTAGTCCTATCTATAGTAGATTTATTGAAGTCAATGGGATTTAGGTTAGTTGTGATTGACATTTTTCCCATTAATTTCAGTGTCTCTTTTCTAAGTAGAGCTAATATTGGATTTAGTTCATTAATTGTATACCTATTCAAATTGTCTCATATATGGTTATCTCAGAATGAAATCTGCCCTTGTAGTGCACATTTATGCCTGAGCTACAGTGTTTAGAAAGAAGCTGTTAGCCATTTAAATTTTAATCCAATGTTCCTGACCTGTGCTGCCTGACTCCCTTCTTACTATATGAGAGAGTTCATTCAAAACCAAAATGAAAACATTAATCTGATATCATTTCAGTGGTTTACTGAAGTATAAGCCTGAATATCAATTTCATACTGTTCTTTAGCCAGCATCCCTAAAGTAAATGCTTTTGGTCTTCATGAGATTTACCTCTGAGTAAGTGGTGTAGTGGTTTGAGTATTGAACTATGACTTCAGAGACCAGGGTTTGAATCCCTGCTTGGCCATGGAAACCACAGAGGAGGGCAAAAGCAGTCCTCCTCTGAACAAATCTTACCAAGCTGGTAATAGAAAAGTTCATAGTTCATAGAAGAATTATTACATATTAAAAGTTTGTGCACAGTGGCATTTATTACACAAATAATTGTCTGATAGTATTTAGCATCTTTCCCATTTTTAACATGCAGTATATTCTAGTTGTATTTCTCTTACTTTCTCCTAGTAACAAACTTTCAGAAGTGTGCTCACCTATACGCTTGAAAGAACTGAAAGTTTTAAACATCAGCAAGAATACTATATCGTTCTTAGTTGAGAATTTTCTGAAGGAATGTTTGAAGCTGGAGACACTCAATGCTGGGATGAATTTACTTGGTGAGTATGCACCATTTGAAGGACAAATTTTTTGATCAAGCTCCAGCTTGAAAGTCAATATGTCAATACATCTGCCTATACAAATGGGCAATACATCTGGCCACATGTTTTTTACTTTTTATTCTTTCTTCAGTCCTCCAGATTTTGTATCATCTAAGCCTCAACCAGACTTTTGTTGTTGTTAACTGTTGTCACATTGACTTCTACTCCCAGCAACCCTATGAATGAGAAATCTCCAAGTCAATCTATCATCAACAGCCCTTCTCAGGTCTTCCAGACTCAGGGCCATGGTTTTCTTGCATCTGTCCATCAGTAATGTGGTCTTCCTCTTTTATTACTTCCTTCTACCTTACCAAGCATTATTATCCTTTCTAGTGTGTCATGTCTTCTCAAAGTATGATAATCTCACTTTAGTCATCTTGGTTTTTAGGGATAATTCAGGGTTGAGTTGCTCTAGGGCCCATTTATTTGTCTTTTTAACGGTCCACAGTATCCACAGACCATTTCTTCAGCACCACATTTCAAATGAGTTGATTTTCTTCCTGTCAGCTTTCTTAATTTTCCAGCTTTCACTACCATACATAGAAATAAGAATTACAATGGGATGGAAAATCCTAACATTAGTTTTGCATGCGCAAACGAGTTGCGGCCACCGTTTTGGCAAACAAAATGTTGGCCGCGATGCGCACGGTGGCGGCGGCCCCGCATGCGCATATGCAATCACATACGCCGCCATCCCCCCACCCCGGACCGGCGGAAGACCTAGGGACCAGCGACCGGCCCCAGGTAAGTAAATCTTGCCGACCCCTGCTCTAAGGCAACACACATAGTTTTGTGTACATCTGACCACATACCTACTTCCAGATACATAATATGTTTGAAGTGAATCTAATGTTGCCATGTTGCAAATGAAGAATCGAGGTTGGAAGATAATGACTTTGACTAGGTTGCTTAGGATGTAGGCAGCTTCCCTTTCAAGGAGCCCCTTCTGCTCTGAAACTTCCTTTGCTCTAAACTCAAATCTCTACGTAGTGTTGCCTAAAAAGTGTGAGTTTTTCCTTTGCTAGAGAGGAACTAATTCTTTTGGAATGTGTTGGGATTTCCTGTCACATATCTGAAGAGAGTTATGATTCCCCCTTTCCTAACTGTCATTTTTAAAAATTTAAATATTCCCCTATTGTGCCACTGCAGTGCTACACCTTTCTAGCAAAAATACTTCAGATGACTTTATTTTTTCCCTAGCCATTTCAATGCCAGGTGTAATTGGCTAAGGGAAGAAGCTTTCTCTGCATTAACCAGTATGAAATTGCGTAACTAATAGAGAATATTTTAGAGTTCCTCTTCTGACCTCATACCTCACCATAGAGAAGGGTGGCTATTTCTCACCTATCCCCTCCAAATCCAGCTTCTATGTGATAGAAGAAAACTCTGAACAAGTTACAAGCTAATTCATCATTTAGAAAAGCCCTATGTTACAAAAACATACGTATTTGATAATTACTTTCCCACATTGTCTATTGTTCAGTCACTTTGCAAACCAGTAAAATAACTGCTTTCCTTTTGATTTTTTTAGATGCCATTTCTGACTTGCCATCTAATATAACTACATTAAAATTGTCACAGAATAAGTTTTCTAATATTCCAGAAGCAATTCTTCTTCTCCCACAGTAAGTTACCACATATCTATGTATCAGTAATATCCATTTGGAAAGTTTATGCATATCTCCCTGGTTCTTCTACTGAATAGTAAAAATGACTGTAGCCAACAGAATACCTATAGGGAAAAAGGTTCCCTGTTGTACCTACAACAAATCTCTGTCTTCCTCCAGCCCCATATAGTTTAATAACTGTCTTGGGACTTCCCTAAGTCTTGCTGTTGTGTCTGGGATCATGCTGTGTTGGTACTTAAGAACCAGCACTCAGAGGTTTATTAAAAACTTTTTGGGCAGCAGAATGCAAAAGAGGAAACACTTCAAAATACCCCAGTGAGCAATGAGCATGTTCAGTGAGCATAAAATGATTATTGTCTGTTGGTAAAAGATGGAAAATCCAGATGAGTGATTTTATTTATTTATTACATTTATATCCCACCTTTATCCCAAAATGGGGATCCAAGACATCTTGTTTCTGAAATCTTGAATGGAATCACTCCATACTGCTAAATTTCATCAGGTTCCACTTATTTTGCTAACCTCTCATTTTTCCTATCTAGGGTTGCAAAGGTTCAGATTCTTTAGGGGAAAAGTGTTTTTAGGATGTCCTCCAATTTATGTCCTGACCCATGATTACCCACATGCATTAGACACCTGGACATTTTAGGGGTGGAACAGACAGGCATGAAAGAGTGGCCTAAATCTGCTCTGGCCAGAAGTGGGTTGGATTCCTGCTGTCCGTATAGTCCACTCCCAAGGTGGGCTGTGGCTGCAGGGGTCAACCAGCACCACCAAGAGTTGAACTATCCTGGCTCCTTTTTGCTCCATTCCTAAGGAGCAGAGGGTGGCTTCAGCATGGCTTCCTGCCGCTTTGGAGGCATGAGTCATTGAAACAGCATGCCTTCAAAGCAGCCAGAAGCCACTTCATCTGGCCTGTCTGTTCAGGCCCTTAGATTCTGGAAGTCTTCAAAGAATTATATGTTGCTTCAAAACTGAGCAGTTGCTGGTTTTGTTTGTTTGGATCTGGGTCTCCAACAGATGTAACAGCTGTGCCTTGAAATGAATTTTGTAAATGTTTAAAAGTATAATTTTGTCCTAATTTCCACTTGTATGAACAGCATCAGAGCAGTACTGTCATCCATCTTAATAAGTGCTGTAATGCATGGATCAAAGACAAGATAGTGTACTGATTTTATTGCTGGACTAGTACTCACAGAGACCAGAGTTCAAATCTCTCCTCAGCCATGGAAATCTGTACTCACAGCTTAGGTGCAGTCTGTTTGGCAGACCATATCTGCCTGTATGAGCTGAAATCAATGGAACTCCGATATAGGCAATTTTTCTGATTCATGGGGGGGGGGTGTCCACATCGGATCCTCTGCGAATTGAAAGGGATGACTGACTGTATTTAAAAGATTGATAATTCTCTCATGCATCAGTTTTGTGTGATACAATGCTTAATTTTTTTACATAGTTTTTTATTTATCTTTTAAATAAATTCTTACATTTTAACTGTTCAATTTTTTTATCATTATATAGCAATTATTTTCATAGTCCTATATATCTACAGAAAATTTCCAATCAAGTGTTGTGTGTATAATGTGGGAACTGTGATGATATGATATGATGATATGAGATGGGACTTGGAGTGTCATGGTTCTCATAGACATCTGACAGCAAAGTGTGATGGATATAGTCAAAAGTAAAAGTAAAAATCAGAGTAAATGTAGATGGGGAACCAAATGGGGGAAATCAGGAAATCTGGGGAACTGTTTATAACTCTTAATGATGGTGCCTATCTTTCCCAGGAGGTAAAGGGAGATTGGGATGGAGAGAGTCAAACTTCAAAGCACTCTTTAAAATGTTTTTGGTACTGACTGCAAGCTTGAGGAGGGAGCTGGACAAAGGGATTTTAAAGTGCTATTTTACTGGGGAAAATTCAGAGTTGATTCCATGAGTGTGGAGTAGTTTTGTGTTCTTGAATCCAGAATAAAGCTATAATTAGTTTATACTTAAAATGCTTTCCTGGTTTTTTTATGTCGTGAGCTACCAATCATGACAATTATATTCATGTTCCTCTCCCCCACCTTTAGTTTACGCTCAGTGGATTTAAGTAGCAATAACATCGAAAATTTACCTGGGCCTGTGCACTGGAAATCTTCTAACTTAAGAGAGCTGCTGTTGAACCACAATCAAATAAGCATTCTAGACCTTAATGAAAAACCTTTGTCATGGTCTCGACTTGAGAAGCTATACCTGTCTAACAACAAGTTAAAAGAGGTAATGTACAATGTTAATGTAGTTTGGTGGTGGTTAGGAATGTTATTCTGACTTCACTGCAGTATAGTTAGAAAAAGTATTCTCCATACGACCTAGTTGTGTCTTATGGTTTGGATTCTGTTGTGTACATGCACTGTAAATTTCCCTTCCCTTGTAACTCTTACGCATCCTTAACAGGACTTGCTCCTCCCATCCTTCTGCATCACCCAAAACTCAATTCTAAAGACTTTCTCAGCCATCTGGGGTAAATATTTAGAGCTGCAAGGTTCTGTGTGAGGAAAGATATTGCCTGGATCCTCTGAAAGAACTTCTCATGTCAGTGATGGAGCTTCTTCTGTCATGGTTGGAGGCTGGTTTACAACCTTTTATAATGATGATTTCTTGTCAAAATTATTCAAGCTCTTCAGCATGAGATCCTTTATATCAGGGGTGATCAAAATATGGCCTGTGAGCTTCATGCAGCATCCGGGCCAGTTTCTTTAGCTAGCAGTGGCCTGTAGAGGTAAACAGTTTTCTTTTTTAATGCTCCCAAATATTTTTTAAATTTTTTTAATTTTTTTACTATAAACATACGAACAAACCAACAAAAAAGGAAAAAAATAAAAATCAAATAAAAAAACCTCTACATACAAACAAAACTTTACATACACACTTTCATCCGTTCAACATAATTTATCAATGTAAATATACATTCTTGCTTTGCC